TTGTAATGTCACAGTTACAGCTGGAGGTTTGAGAGTCAGAATTCAGGTCTTGCTTCATTTACCTTCCCCTTGGGTTTTATGCAGCAAGGGTAAAGCTCCCCGGAGGGTTTTTGGGAATGGGATATGGATGAGGCTCCACAGGGTCATCAGTCTCCAGGCTGATCAGCTGCCCCCTGTTCAGTTCCTCTTCATTTGCACAACTCTAAATGACTGAGCTTTAAACTCCTGCTGCAGGTGTTTATCTAAACAAAATAATCCTGGAAAATGCTATCAGAATTTATTTGGCTTTTCCCAGGGAGACATCTAAGTAAAAGTGATATTTTCTCCATATTCAAAGCACTCTTGCAACAATTTGCAGTGGGAAAGGAACTTCAAATTTAGGAAAATACGCACTATTTATTTTTTTCCTCACTGATATTGTAGTTATTCTGTCAGAACTTTCTTGAATTTGGGTAAGGGAGAAACCCATCAGGGCTTACACTTCCCACACACACAGGGGCTTGTCACTGTGTTGAAGGGTAACTTGTGCTTCGTCTCAGGTGCCATTTTTGAAATATATTCAGCCTTGTTTAGGAAAATCTGCAGATTCAGAGTGATACTTCCTAAAGAAAACTTTCTACAAACAATCATTCCTCAGTTTTCAGAGCAGAGCTTGAATAGCATCCAATAAATCAAGCTGCAGTCCAAGTGTGAAACAGGCACAGATGAAATCAAATATTGAATAGTCATTCATGAATCCTGCACTGAATTGAGGGAATCCTCCTCCCACCCTCCTGGCATTTTTGGAGTTGTGGGATGGAATTTATATCCTAGGAATTCATGAGCTTGTGCTGAACTCTGCTTTTTTACATTCTTCACTTTCCACTAGGAGTGTTTGTATTTTTTAACCTGGCATGGGACTGTGCTGAATAATCAATGCCTTCATGGGAGAATCAGCCTTTTTTTCACCCTAAGGGTCCAGGGCTTGAAGAGGGCCCAGTAATGTGAGTAATACTAAAATCCAGTGCTCTTATCCCTGTTCCAAAGGCACTGCTGGGATAGACAACTGAAAATAAGGAATTAGGCTTTCCATGTGTCTCCTGGGTCTGGAGAAATGCAAGGTAGGAGTGGCCCTGGCTCATTCCTGCTGTTAAAGCCTTTACTGCACAACAGAAGAAACTCTCTTATTGTACAAAAATCCACTTGGGGTTCTCAGGTTCTCTCTTGGATATTCTTGTATCTTTAAAATTCAGATTTGTTTGGATTTAGGAGTCACGGAAGATTTTGGCTTGAAGCTGCAAGTGCCCTTTCCCCTGTGCTGGGAGAAAAAAGGGAGAGCTGATAATGCATTGCAAAAATTTAGTCTATTATATAGATTACACACAAGCTGACAAGTTCCTCAGGTCAACTTAATCTGTTTTCTTCTGTGCAAGGGAAAACGACCATTTAATTATATGGGGAAAAACACGATCCTCCTGATTGAGAGAGTCACATGAGTGCAATTTACTTTATCCTTCCATTCATTTGGGGGACATGGATGCAGTTCAGCCAGGGATGTTATTTCAATTTTAATAGCGTGGGCTAAGAGTGGCAAAACCCCCAATGTCCCCAGCAAAACAAAACCTCTGTGGTGGTGGTGTTGTAAGGGAAAAAATTGATCCTTTGCTTTGTTCTTACACGTTTCATTCATCTGTGTTTTTCTTCTTCTGTGGTTAAAATGATCCGTGATGAACCTGGCATCCTGGGAGGTCATTCAGGAATTCACCAGAGCACAGGCCCTGGCACAGGTTCCCCATCCCTGCAAGTGTCCAAGGGCAGGTTTTGGTTCACCCTGGCATAGTGGAAGGTGTTCCTGCCCATGGCAGGGGTGGCACTGGATGAGCTCAAAGATCCCTTCTAAACCATTCTATGATTTTCCATGTATAGCTGATTTTCCAGGATCTATTTCCATGATTCCTGAAACTGGGACGAAGATGCACCAGGAGTAATTCAGCATCAGCCTGTTCTAAGCAGGGCTGTGATAAAAATCCTGCCTTTGGATTTAATACTGTGAATATTTCCCACTCTGAAGTGGAACACTCCACAGCCACCGAGGGGAAGATTCCCAGTGGCTGGGGCACAACCCCGTGAATAATTCCATGAATAGTGGACCATTATCAGTTTGTGTTCCCAAACAAACACCAGTGTTAGCACATCTTCATCGGACCAGCTCTGAAGTCAAGCAGCCACTTAGCAATTAAAACTTTAATTGCTCCACGATTAAATATGCAACTACAATGTAATTAGCAGGCAGAGTTTAATTTGGGAAAGCGAGGCTCTGGCTGAGAGGCCCAAGGCTCAGGGATGTGTTCTGGGGACCAGGGCAGCAAGGGGAGCTCTGTCCCCTCTTGGATTTCATGGAATATCCCCAAAGATCATAAAGTCCAACTCCTAGGACTAGTTTTTAATAAGAAAAGCTTAATTTAATGAAGTTTTAGTGAACCTCCCAGAAATCTTGCAGAGCAACAGGGTGAGGTGAGGCTGTGGCACAGGTTGCCCAGAGTGGCTTTGGCTGCCCCATCCCTGGAAGCATCCAAGGATAAAGAACCAAAGAACTGAGACTTGGGTGTCTGCAGGACTCAAAATATTTTGAGTTCTGCATGGTTAAAGGGATTTTTGGAGGTTTTTCTGTTGGGAGCAGGCTGGTGGATGGTGGAGGCATCGATCTCTTTTATTGACCCTTAACTCTTGTCACCTTCTCATGTTCATCCTGAAAAGGGAATGGCTGGAGCCCTTGGAACTGGGGAACTGAAGACACTAAGATTTTCATTTTATGCTCTATTTGAAAAATCATATGCATTGCCCATCGTTATGGAATAACTTCTTACAGCTGACAGAAAAGTGCATTGTTTGTATGCCAGCTAAAGCTCCCCAAAATCAGCTCAAGCTTTAAATTAAATATAATATTGAATTCAATAATGCTCAATATTTAGACTGAAATGCAGCATTTTCTGATTCTCCTGCCTGGAGAGGAGCATTTCTTGCATTATTTAGTATTTGTCTGATGGAGATGCCAAGGCAAGCTGCAGATGTATCTCCATTAATTGATCAATATTGTGTTGTATTTCATTTGGTTCTTTTATCAGGTCGATACAGCAGAACAATTTGTTTGCTCCATGGAAAACTGCACTGTATAGGCTGCCAGATAGGAAAAGAAAATGGGAAAAATCCTCCAGCACTCCTTTGAATTCCATGAGAGGTGAATTTTGCTCACGGTCTGGGCATCTTATGGTGAGGTGTTTAATGTTCCAGATTGCTTAGTTACACAGCAGGAGAATGGGAGGCTTTCTCCAGGACAGTAAATTATAATTAAAGAGCACATTAATTACCAAACCACAGAACATCTTTTATCTAGTCTTGCCAATACCTACAATATCGGGCTGGGAAATCTTCTTGATACTTTTAAAACAAGTATTTTAATTTCATCAGCCATATGTTTCTTGTGCTCCCCAACACTTGGGGAATAATGTGATCCCATCTGTGCATTACTGCTCAGAATTGTCCATCTTTCTTTGGAACCCATGAGCCAAAAGTTAGGAAAAGTCATTCCCTTTGCAGGTTTTTGTTGCAGAGCTTTATCCAGCAGAGCTTTTTGTGGAAAAAGCTGCTGAAACTCAGTTCTATTAAACAAAAAATTACGTTCTTCAAAATAATTTAGAAATCTCTGCAGTATGTGAGGCACCACTAAAGGTTGATATTGCTCATTCTTGAGAGAAACACCTCTTTTTGTGCTTCTTGTTAGACTGATACTTAAAATGAAGAAATTAATCAAACATTTATTAAAATAGTCATAAAAATTAACTTGTAATGAAGATATTTGAATCCCCCCCCCACAACTCTGCTATTCTGTGTTACAGAAAACACTGCCACCATTTTACACTTCCACAGCCCAGGTAACCTTTAGGTCATAATATTTACCAAACAGCCACTATAGGCTTGATAAATAATCATCTTTTCCAACCTAAATGAGTCTGTGTTTCAGTTCTCTGACTGTATTTCCTGATCCCTGGAGCTGTTTCCCAGTTTGGGGTGTCAGGGAAGGCTTTTTAGTGGTGCTAGGATTCAAAACCTTCGCTCTTTTCCCCTACCCTTTTTTTTTTGGTGGGAATAACCCTGTGGCCCCCTCATATCTGTCCCTTCTTCCTTCCCTTATCTTGGCTCATTTTCTTCAAATCTTGCTTTTCAAACCCTCCAATATTTAAAAGATTGGTCACTTCCAACCTCACAGGTTGGTCCTGAGCTTCTTTCTCTCCATCCAACCTGGGATTTTAACCCCTCCTCATGCATCCCTTCCTGGCATGGCGCAGGTAATCCGATAAAGCAGATTTCCCCTCATAAAATGCGATATTCAGAAAGGCAAGGGGTGGAGAGATGGGAATTAAATAATAGCCACGGGTCAGAGTAATTTTCTTTTTGATAGTAGTTCTGTTATTCATGGATGAGTGTCCTCAGGGATTAGTTTCTCATGGAAAATGAGCAAAATGACGCTGCCATTTTCATGTGTGGTGGTAAAGACCTAAATATTTTCCTTTTTGAGCACAAAAAAATTGGGGTGAATTTCACCTGAAAGTGTAAGAGGTGAAACAAAGTTCACACTGACTGTACAGATGCTCTAGTAAAAAACACTCAAGTGTTGAAAAGTTTCTGTATGCAACAGTTGGTTTTAATCTTGTGATGAGTTTATGTGCTCTTCTTCATAATACATTTAATTCCTCTTGAAGCTGTAGGGCTCTGGAGATTTTTGTTCACAGTATGGAATCCCAGGATGTTTGGGATTGGAAGGGACCTCATCCTCTTCCACCCCCTGCCATGGGCTGTGACACCTTCCACTATCCTGGGTTGCTCCAAGCCCTGTCCAGCCTGGCCTGTAATCAAATACATTTTAAAAGTTAAATCAAAGTAACATTAATCTTCCTTTTAAAATGTCTGAAATTACGTAATTGCCCTTTTCAAATGGTCTTTTTCTCTTCTTTTTCTCACAGATGGGAAGGTTGAAGTGACAAAAGAGGGAGTGAAGCTCTGCACCATGGGACCTGGCAAAGTTTTTGGGGAGTTAGCCATCCTCTACAACTGCACCCGGACAGCTACTGTCAAAAGTAAGAGCATTTTAGATGTTTTTTCATCTCTTCACTTGGAAGTTGCAGCCTCTTTTAGATGTTTCTCAGTGAATTCAACTCTTTAGGGCGTGGATTTTGGTATGGAATTTAGCCACTCTGCGTTGAAGAAGATGCAGAGGAAATGCTTCATTCAGTCACTCAGGTTGGTCCTACCCCACGCAGAGGAGCCTGAAAATTATACCACAGTTTTCCTTACAATTCCTGCTGAATCTCATGGTAATTATTTTCTCATTGCTTAGAAGACCCTTTCTGACCTGTGTAGGTTTTCAAGGAAAACTCAGTAAGGCAGGCTCAGTTTTTGCTGAGGACAAGTCATTGTTTTCCCACTAAGCTGACTACAATAAATCAGGAAAAAAGAAAATCTGGATGGTACTTGACCCCCTGCTCTAAACTCCTCAACACTTCTCCTGTTACCTGTTTTCTTTTATGAATGTTCTGGGCAAAGGCTTGGCTTGCAGAAATTAAGCTGAGGAAATAAATCACATTGCTTATGTACGACTTAAATAGGTTTTCGTTAAAATTCAGATGCAGAGTTGAGATCTGGGATATAGGATATCACTGTCCTCCTTGATCTTGAGGACAAGTTTGTGGTGGCATCTGAAGCAGAGAGAGATAATAAATAGTTGTGTGGTTTTAAGGTGCTATGGGGGAGGAGTCAGAAGGGTACAGATGGTACAGAATAATCCAAACAAGAGGTACAGACTTGAATAATACAAACCTGTGGTATTCTCGTGCCAGAATAATGAGTCCCTGCTCAGAAGAAAGCCTTTTCCAAATACCTAATTGTGCTTCACAAAGAGAGAAAGGAAAGGAACAAATGGGCAGGAATGAGAAAGCAGGGACAGATAAGTGGATTATTTTCTGCAGGATGTGCTGTTCTCTGTAAGGCTGAAGGACATGACTGATGTTCTCTGTTCTCACCTGTGCAAACCTTGCCTTTACACAAGTGCTGGGTACCTCAGGTGATGGTGAAAAATTCAGAGAAGCAGCAGGTTTGTGTGATAAATACAGCTTGGGGAAGGTTGGAAAGAGCAGAGGGAAAGGTCAAATCTTAGAAAAGGCAAAGAGAAGATGGCTGTTGTTTATTTCCTCTCAGGACTGCAGAGCTAAAAGGCACCTGATCCTACATTCCCACGAGTTGAATCCCACATAACCACTCTGTTCCTGTGGCCATTCTCACCTGGCTGTGCAAGGGACTCCCACAGGGAATTATACACTGCAGGTTTTCCTGACAGTTTTCCTCTCAGTGCCTTTTCCACAGCCTCAGGCTCCCCTCCTGAGCATCCCTCCAGACTGGCACTTGGCATTCAGCTCTCCCAAATCCCTCTGTCCTGCTTAAACTGGGGGCAGGGGTAAGGTCACTGTTCAGACAGTCTCAAGGAAGAGGATTCTGTGTTCCTCGTTCCTCTGGTCCTTCCCCAGCAGCATTGTGTAATTAGAGTTCTGCTGGGTTTTAATCTCTTTCCCAGCGCCAGCAAGGGACTTTGAGGAATTTTCTTTCTAGTTAGTGCACAAATCAGTGCATTTGGGGTTGTAATGAGCTTGGGGAACTGCTGCAGCTCGCCTCTGAGCTGAGGGTGTGGAGGTGTTCACATCCCCTCAGGGCATGGTATTGACTTAGCTGATCCTACACAGCTTCAAACACCTGCTTGTTCCTTCGGGAAATGAGCAATAAATGTAGGAAATCCCTAGAAAGGTGAGTGGTGGTAAATACTCCATTAAGCCTGGGGATAACTTGGATCATTCCAAGGTTTATTCCCAGAGAAATGTGACTGGTGACTGTAGTGAGAACAGACACTCAGTCAGCGCTGGTGGTAAAGAAGTGTCAGGGAACATCATCCAGCTCCCATTTAGAGAAACACTCAGGGCTTCCCAATTTTCAGGAGAGAGCTTTCCATCATCTCCAGAGTGTCAGGAGTGTGTTTTGATGTGCCTGCTTGTTCTTCATTATGAGGACATTATAAGTGCTGCTTTCTGAGGATGAAGCTGCAGCAGAGGCTGAGTGAAGGATGGATTTATTGGGGTGTGGAGCTCAGCGTTGCAGCTGGGCCATAATGAGGTGTCAGCTGAGTTGACATCTCCTCCTGGATCTGGGTTTTATGTGTACCCTGGCTTTGGTTTGTAAATAATAAAGATTTTAGTGTCATTATTCACTGTTAGTCTACACGGGCTCTTCAGCTCGTGCTCACTCTGCAGGAGCAAACTTGAAATATAAATCACTGGAGGAAGGGCTTTGTCTTTGCAATAGAATTTAGGAGATATTAAAATTTAATGATTCTGATCTGACTCCTGTCTCATAACGACCTCTTTAATAAGGCACTCCAGGGCTTTGAAAAGCCTGCCCCAGGAGCACTATCAACATATTTTTTCCCTATTATTGCAGTCTTAAATAAAAGCAGAGTGGGGTTTGAGTTCAAGGAGGGCCTGGGAAGAGCCCAAACTTGGGTGTTGAGGAACACCAGGGAAGGCAGGGACACGTCTCCTGACGTGTGGCCTTTTTTGAAAATAAACTTACACTTTTTGACATCTGATTTTTGTTTGGTTATTCTGTAGTGCTTGCTTTACATTTCCAGATATTAGTGGGGTGTTTGGGAGTTTTTTGGTTCGCTTTTTCTTCTTCTGGTAGAAACTGGTCAGTCTGCTCCAAGTATGGAATTGTCAAGGCTTACTGACTCCTTGATGTTCACAGATCACCTTCCACTGCACACTCAGTGAAATCCAAATCAGCAGCTAATTTCTCCCTCTCTCTGTTGATTATCCAGAGTTCTCAAGTGCCTGTGTGCAAACCTGGATACTGCTTGCAATTCAAAGCAGAACCACACACTTTCCTCCATGGTTCCAACAAATAATTAGGTTTGGAATGAGGAAAACACCGCTTGTTATGGCTGCACCTAAAACGAGGTCTCTGATCCTCTGTTTTTAAAGACGTGGTTGGAAAAATGATCTATGAGAGGTCAGCAAAAAGACAAAAAAGACAGAAATCCCCCCAGATGAATTGAGGTTGCGTTTAAAACATTGCGATTCTTCATTTTGATAGCAGAAAAGATGTGGGAGGAAGTGAAATTAATCTGCTGTTAATACTGTGCAGAAGAGCTCATTCCTCTTAAAGAATAATGCGTGGAGCAAAATTTTGCAGGTGATTTAGGGCAGATTTTGTGGAAGGAGCAGATTCTCCATCCTCTAAGGATGTTCTGCTTATTTTAGAAATGATCTTAGCACCCAAAATGGATTCTCTTGGGGGTAAAATTCAAGTAAAACCATCCCCTAGAAACGTCTCTGTGTGAGACTGATGATTTCAGGGGAGTTACACTCCACACCAACCCATGTTTTTAGGAGAACTCTTAGCAAAAAAAAAAAATAAAAAAAAATAAAAAAGCAAGCAAAGGCTGAAGTTATTAAACTCTAAATTATGTAAATCCTTTTGCTGGCCCTCAAAAGGCAGCACAAGAGTCCCTCAAGCTGCTGTGCTTGCCAGCTGCACTAATTGTACAAAACCCAGCGCGGCGCAGAGGGATTAAGGCGGGAGCTCAGCCCTTCCTTGCCAAGCCTGGATGAGTTTGAATTTTCCACTGCTGTTTTTGTTTTAATGGAGTCCTGTGCACTTCTTGCTGCAGCCCCAGGAATGACAGAACTTTGTGAGGAGCTTGGTAACATGGATAATTTGTGAGGAAAAATAAGGCAGCAGTGAGTTGCCAATTAAAACTGCAGAGACTTGTTAAAAGCCTTGCAGAAGGATGTTGCCTTTAGATGTTCTCCAACAATTACAGGAGCCAGGGTAAAGTTTGTTCAGCTCTCCCTAAAACACACTTTGGAAGGAAGTTGACTTTAGATACTCTGCTGTTTGATTAAAATCTCTCTGATATTACATGGAGATAAGAAACCTGGGATGGCCCAGCCAGTCTGGTGTGCCTGGTGGGAGATAAATGGAATATAAATGGATATATCCTGGGAGAAGGTAATTTAAACTCACCCTTCCACTGCCTGTATTTTTCTGTGACCTTTACAGGTTTTGTAAGTAATGTGACAAAATGGGATTGATTATTCCTCCAAGAAGATGATAATGAGAAAATGATGTTGAGGACAATGGACAAAGTGTAGCAGGCGTTCTTTCCCCCCCTCTTCTTCTTCAGGAGCATCTTCAGGATGGCATTTCTGTGGCTTTGGAGACAGAGGCACAGGAATGGGTGAAATTTTAACTGAAATTTTAACTGAGGGACAGACTAATCCAGGAGAAATAGAGAAAACAGAATGGAAAATTCATTCGCCTCCTGGGATCATTGTGTACATGTACTGGTGAAACATCCCCAAGCGTGTTGGTTGCCCAGAGAAGCTGGGGCTGCCCCTGGATCCCTAAGTAGTGTCCAAGGCCAGGCTGGACAGGCTTGGAGCAGCCTGGGGTCGTGGAAAGTGTCCCTGCTCATGGCAGGGATGGGACTGGATAGGCTTTGAGGTCTCATCCAACCCAAACCAGTCTGGGATTCCAGGATTCACAAATTTCCCAGGATCTGCTTCCTATCCCCTTTTCTAAAGCCTTAAAGGAGGTGCTGAAGGAGGAGGTGGGGCAGCCACAGCTGCTCTGGGCACCCTGTGCCAGGGCCTGCCCACCCTCCCAGGGAACAATTCCTTCCCAATATCCCATCTATCCCTGCCCTCTGGCACTGGGAAGCCATTCCCTGTGTCCTGTCCCTCCATCCCTTGTCCCCAGTCCCTCTCCAGCTCTCCTGGAGCTCCTTTAGGCCCTGCAAGGGGCTCTGAGCTCTCCCTGGATCCTTCTCTTCCCCAGGTGAACACCTGGAGGTTCTGGCATCATGAGCAGCTTTAAGACTGGATATTTATTTATAGGAAAAACTTTCAGTGTTAAATCCATGTTTAAAACCTCTGTGGACCTGTATGGCCAAGCAGATAAAGTAACAATAAATAACAAAGCCCTGTTTGTTGTGTCTGATACAGGAGGAGGGTGATCACCACGCCAGGGAAGT